TATTTTTTGTTTATGTTTTCTTTTATTTATCTTTTTTGTTCTTGTTCCAATTTTTTCTTCTTTTTTTCTTGAAAATTTTTTTGTTAATTCTTTATGTTCTTTATTCAAGCATCAGACCATTGTTTATGAATTTTTGGTATCCTTGCACCTATTTTTTTATCCAGTACCTTATATTTTCTATTTATTTTACTTTTTTCTGCTTTTGTAATTTTTGTTCTTTTTTTGTCTTTACATATTTGACTAATCTTTGAAGCTCTACAATGGTTTTTTTCATTAATAGTCTTCTTAACTATGCCTTCTTTTCATTGCTATATTGTAAATTTTTTTTTAGATATGTGCTTGTTTGCTACTGTTTAATTGTCTTTTTTATCAAATTTTATATATTGTTTATTTTTTGTATTTTTCTTAATTTTTTTGTTCTTCTTTTTGAATATGCTTCAATACTTCTTTGATCTTTAAACATTTTTGTAATTTTTGTATATAGTTTTTTCATTCTTTATTTTTTGTATTATTATAGAAATATATTGTTCTTGATTGACTCTTTTTTTTAACTTCTGTCTTGCTACTTTTTGCTATTATATACTTGATTTATATTTCTGCTATTATTATTTTATGATTACTTTTAGTAATTTTTTTTATATTTTTAATTTTTGCTCTTTATAAACCTGATGCTAGCTCTTCTAATATCTATATATAGTTAATTCTTGTTACTGTTTCTGCATATAATCATGAATATCTTTGTTTTGTTAAATATGTTTTTCTATATATATCACAAAATTTTGTTGTTTATTTAGTTTAATATTGGCAATCTTTTAAAACTAGTAGTTTGTAGATTTTTCCTATCTAATATATTGTCTACAGTATAATTAAAGTTGCCATAATAACAACTTGTGTTTGTTTTTCTTTTCTTATAATGATCTCTACTATTTTTTGATAAATAAAATTTTTTACTTATTTGTTATTTGGTAGTATATTACTATTAACTTTATTTATTTAAAATATTCTGTAATTTCTATTATGTATTTATTTATTTTCTTAACTGTGTCCACATGTTTTTTCCAATATTCTTTTACCAAAATCTCTATATCTAATTCTTTTTTCTTGTCTTTTGCTGCATTGTACCAATATCTAATAGTATTTACAAGGGAGTGACAAAAATATTTCCACATCTAAGAACTTGGTTTATAACTCAAAAACTTACTAATTAATTTATATTCTTGACTTGACTATATGAAACCTTATTCTTTGATGATTATGTCATATCATTTTTAGATCATATACTTACATAATTAACAAGTTATTTAATTTTGTTTTTAAGATTTTGATAAATTTGATAAGTATTTATATTTCTATACAAATATTTCAATAACTATCAATCTAATTTCAATGATATTTTATTATTTTATAAATAAAGTTTTTCTCTATCTACTATATAAGTTTCATATAATTTTAATCAATAGTTAACTAAAAATTTAACAAAAACAAAAAATTTATAATTCATCTTTTAAACTAATTTTTTCAATAATTATTAGTCTAAAACAAATATTTTTTATTTATTTAATAGTGTTAACCTACAAAAATGAACATAGCTCTTGAACTACTGAACAGAATTCGATGAAACTACCACCATTCGAATCAGCTTATTGAGACAATTCTAACAAGATATAGATCATCCATTTCTGATCACAGGATCACAAGATCGAATCTGATAACCAAATTAATAAGGAAGTTGCGATATAATTGGTTGAATAATTACTGCGCGAAATGTTATACATATTAAACATATAGCATTTATGTGATTTGAAGCATCTATATTTTATATTATATTTAGTTTACATATATTATTTAGTTTATTTATTCTATTTATTTTATATATCAAATATATCTTATTTATTTTATTAATAGTAGTTGTAAAATATCTTGTATATGTAAAAAATATAGGCTGTTACATCCACTATGTAGCCAAAAAGTATAAAAGTAGCAGATATGAACCCCAAATTCAATATCAAGTCTTCATATTCTTTTACTAATAAACTACTATTTTGTAGTATCCAAACTAAATAGTTATTAGTATCCTTATATACTTTTAATTGTAGACTCTTTTGTAATTGCAAATTGTTTTAAATCTTCTTTATTAAGTTTTCTAAAATAAAATGCCTTTTGACTTAGTTATAACATAATAATAAGTGAGATTACAAAAAATGTCCACTGTCTAAGATCACTCTAGTTACCTACTATCTTAAAAGAAATAGATATAGAATAACAGTACTAAAGAAAAACATAAAAAAAAATAAATATCAAGAAATAAAAGAGAAGAAGATTGCTGACAAAGACTAAACAAATAGTTACTATTATAAAGACTGTATCAAATTACTAAAAATAATAGTTGGTAAATACAGTAATCTTTATTTTAATTCTATTTAATTAATATATTTAATACTAAAACTATATTTTAAAAAAAATAATTCAATTAAAATGAATTAATAAATAATTTTTTATATTCTAAATACTCTGATTCTTTGTCACTAAATCCATCTTCATATATGATTCATTATACTTTTCACCAGATTTTATATTTTGATACATATTATATTTTTAATCAATTAATTTGTTTTTTACTAAAAATTTTTAATCTTGTCTCATTGTTGTATTTTTTTTATAAGATATATAAATTCATATTTTATTTATAATATATATCTTTTTAAAATAAAACTAATAAATAATCCTGATTTAAAAAAATCAACAATATTGATTTTAATAGAGATAAGTTAAATTGTTTAATTTTTAATAAAAGTTTTTTAGAAAAAAATAAGAAGAGAATTTTTTGAATACCAACTATAATGAGTATAGGAGTTTATATTATATATAATAACATGTTCAACCAGACTTCTATCTTTGTTGTTATTCAAATATAACTTGACAAACATTTCTTTGATTATAATCAAAATTATTTTTTCAATAACTTCATAAACTTCTACTAAAGAATCAAACCTATAAGAAACTATTTTTTTTAACTCTTTTTCATATTACCTATATGCAATCTAAAACTCTTGAACCTAGACATTATATGATGAAATTTTATTATATATAAATATACTAAATATATAATTTTCATAGGTCAATATGTGTGAAAAAATTAGTGCAGAGGATCATTATGAAAAGTTCAAAGATTGTTTGATTTAATTTTTATTTTAAGTTACAAAGTTTAAATTCTTTAGATTTTTCTTCAACCCAACTCAAACTATTATCTTATCTTCAAAAAATTAACAACTTAATTACTAAACTATAGAGCTCAATTCTAATATTAAAATTAATATTAATATTTAGAATAAAACAAAAGTGTAACTTTTATCAAGAAATTTTTTTGGTTAAAACCTTAAAGATCATTTTATATTTAAATTACAGTTATTTTTAATAACTGTGTTAAATTCTCTTACCATTCTTTTACGTAATTATAAAACGTCTTTAAACTTCTAATAATGTTATAGAAGCTTTGAACTAAAATTACAATGAGCATACTTCTTTGGCAAAATAAAACCTAACATATTAAATTATCAAATTAAGGTTATACAATGCATTAAAAATATATATCCAATCAATAACTCAATAAAAGAGCTTACCAGCTTCAATTGAACAAATCGATTAGGACATCAGATTTAATGTTGCGGATAAACATATTTGCCCAGCAGATGGAAATTATGCTTTTATTCAAATTTTACAAAAACGGATATGAAGCTGGTCCCATACATTAAACACTACTAAAAATCTTAGATCTTAATTTTAAACTTGTTCCAAAAAAAAAAAACAACCCCAAATCCCAAGCTTTAAAAAACTTAATAGAAAAAAGACTAAAATTGCATTCTGAAAATTATTAATTGAAGATTAAGAGTGTGTATTGCATTATAAACTTTTTGCAGAAAAGATAATATGATATATCAAAAGATGAAGCTTTTAAAGATTATATTTTTGTCACTGGTCTTTGTAACCCTCAATCCATTATTATTTTGTCTGAATCGGTCTACGAAATTAATGATTAATAGTTAACGAAATTACAGTGACGAGAAACAAAGAACAAGCTGACATGCCAAAGTATCTAAATTATAAATTATGTTTCACGAATCTAATTGCCTAAACAAGTTTTATAATATTCTATAAAAATATTTTTATTATACTTATATTATGGCATACTATTTGCTAAATGGCATATCAGGTTCCCTAATGTGAATATGTAATAAAAGAAGTGTAATTTAATCATTGCGGCGAATTTATGAAATATACCAAATTTGATAATTTTGACCACTAATAAAACAACAATGTCTTTTGACTGAAATAACTACTATCTCAGAGTGTGTAATTATAATAAATTTTTATGTCTAATAAGATGCGTTAAAGGTGGGAAAATGGGTTATACGCGTTATCAATCAAATTGATTTATCAATATGTGATTTGGAAACGAAGTTTCCACTAATACCCTACGGATCAGGATATTTATTACAAATACTGAAATTTTGCGATAATAGTCGATTTGTCACATCTGAATTTTATCATTTTTGAATTTTTCGTACAAAGCCTTAGTTAAAACACATGATATTCTTTTAAGCAAAGTTGTTAGAACCCTATAGAACGCTATATCCTTGAAGATTGACCTTGACATAAAAAAGCTCGCTGGTGCGTTAAAGCACTTTTAGTTTATAAATTGAAAAAAATATTGCGAGAATTTACCGTTTAGAGCTTATAATACCCAGGATGTTATTCAAAATCGATTAGTGCCCAAGTCTTAATCATGGGAATATTTGATATTGCTTACTGTAGAATGACTAACAAAAATTTAAATTTAAAGATTCAAAACCTATCGCTATTGAATTTATCATAACGATAATAAGGAATCTCGAATCAATGAAAGTTTAAAATAAGGATAATAAAATATTGTAAGAGCAATATATGTAACAAAAGCAAGAAAGAGTTTATTTGTGAATATCACGTGTAATATAGATCTATGTTTAACGTTTAATATCTAGATTGCGGGGCAACCCAGTTCTCACTTGATAAATTTTCAATGCGTTGCCCGCCAAACTAACAGCCCCCAAAGAACCCAGAGCAACATGATATGCATCTTTAGTAGCCCAAGCTGTTGGACCAGAAACAACAACAAGACCAATTGAAGCCACTGTTGTTTATTTAAAAAGCGTTCGTCGTACATTTAAGAAATAATTTTTAAAGGAATTCTCGTTAATAATGTACAAAGAAAATTTTTCCAACCTTTAATCTAAAAATTGATTGAATAATAAATATACACTTACAAGTAGCTATATTATACCCCATAGAAAAATCATTTTTTTGAATGAAATATCTAGTACATGTCAAGAAAAATTGGATAAGAAATTTTTTTAATCTGACTTGTGTGCGTTCAATTCCAAAAACATACCCTGCTGCACCATAAGCAGCACCAATGACAGCAGCAATAGCAGCAGTCCTTGGCTGTTTTAAATATTGATAAGCATAACCGCTACCAAGAAGAGCTGTCAAAAAGAATTTAAAAAATTTCAATGGGTGGTTCTATTATAAAATAATATCTCCTTTATTTATTTAATGTCAAAAATCAAATATATTTTCCACAAAATAATAATGGTGTAGCAAAAAAAATTATTTTACACGTACTTGCGGCAGACATGAAGTAGTGCGGATAAGGGTCAAAGAGAGTGCTCAAAGTTGCTAAAGGAGCTGCGGCTTTTTCAGTAGTGGAGGAATTGGGTGGGGTATTGACGGACGGCGTCGAAGACTTGACATCCTCTTTAATCTCGGCAATTTTTTTGTTGGCTTGTGACATACTGAAACAAATGATAAAAATTCCGTTGAAAAAAATAGTTTTATCGCAAAAATGAAATTTATATCTGAATTCTGCTGAAAAATTATTATGATCAGACGTAACTAAGGTGTCATACTTTGATAAAGAAATTCTAATAAATTGACTGGTCACATACATAACAATTACGTATTGATATGGGCTTCGCAAGTATACTAGATCCAGACTAATTGACTCTGCGTAGAGTTAGATTCGGATTTATCCAGATGCTTTTATGGTTATCCATTAATCTTTTATAAATTCGGATATCTAGCCATTTTTTTTTTAATGATATACTGATATTTTAAGGTGGGTTAGTCATGGCAAAAAATACCATAACTTTCATAGCTCATATCTCAATGAATTTTGAAGCTATTTTAATGATTAAATAGTCAAAAGAAAGCTTGTATCTCAAGCTTTCTTTTAAATATTACATAACTAAATTAGCTTCGAAATTTATCAAGATATGAGTTGAGGTATTTATTTTTTTTTCAAAATGTCAATCTGTGAAAATTAACATGATTGTTGTAATATCATAATAACGATAACGATAAATTCAAGTGATCTCGACATTTTTTTGCCATGATTAATCTATCTGATTTTTATGGATAATATCTTACAGGTGTACCGAAAATTTAATTGTGAAGGCAATTAATTGCAATTTTTGCAAAATGTGTGATAGAACATATGTAAAAGTATATTTACTGAATTTAAAAAAAACATACGTAATTGAATAAAAAAATCAAAGATATCAATCAATCTCTTTTTTATGCACAATTTACATTTCTTTACTGAGACACGTATATCAAATAGTGTTCTTTATTTTTAAATTGATTTCAATGAGCGCAAAAGTTCCATACAATGTTAAAATTGTAGATGATGTACTCTAAAACTTTATCATAACAAATTGCAATTAATTGCAATTAATTTAAACTTAATTGTTGTTTATAATAAATTTTACTTGATCGTAATTGTATAATAATTAAATTTTTGGTACCCTGGTATCTTATATATGAACAATTAATAAGCAATCTCAAATAATATTAATAGGTTTATTCGGGGTTTAAATGAGCTACGAGATAGCAGTTTAGCGTAATTCAATGTGCTTTAAATGAGTACCATCAGGGAAAACCTACACCTCGTTCTTTCGTTTAAAAGTTTTAATCGTAACACTTTTAAATTTCGTAATCGAACACGTATAATATTAAGACTATTAACATATTACTATTAAACTTTCAAAACCGAGTTGTGTGGATTTCTTTTGGCGGCACTCAATACATTAATTAATAACGATAATATTCTTTATATTCATTTAAGGGTAGGGTATGTAGATCGTCTTATCATATGATTTTAGTAGTATAATGTGATGTTTATAAGAAATAAAAATATGCTACTAATAAAACTTTTTGCTATCTTAATTAGTCCTTGTTAAATTTTTTATAATATATGCTTTTTACAATTATAAAAGTTTTAATAGTTTTCCGGAAGGCTTCAAATTTTCTTAGGTTACACAAAATCGGTGATTTTAATTGGGTTATACGTATCATATGATTATCGTATAATCTTTGTTAGAATCAGAAAAACTTATTCTACAACTTTACTTAATATCTTAAAAACAATTAGCTTAGTAAATTTTTTAAATATTAAATATAAAAAATTTTATCATTAAGATTAAATAGGTTAGGTGTTAGAAAAAGAATTAAAAATAGGCAGTATTATCATTTCTCTTAGTTATTTCATTAAATATTACTATTATAATTCATTTCAACAACCAAACAGCAATCAAAAACTTACAACATACTTTCTTTTTAAAATAACTACATATTAAAAATTGGAATATTATTTTCTTTATTAATCATTTCAAAAAATTTTTAAAAATTTTAATATATAATTTTTAAAATTTAGATCATATACAGATTTATTTCATAATCAAGTTAATTTTTTAACCAAAAGATGAATATTTAAACTCATCTTTAAATTATCATTACCAATTACTTTAACTTATTTTTTATAAAATAATCATTTTATATTATTCAAAATTCATATTTTTATTAAAAATATTATTATAATTCAAGAATCTTCATTTTGATTTATATTTAAATACTTTCAAATCATTTTAGAAACTAATTAGATTCTTAACTTTCAAATAATCAAATCTATAGAATATGATATATAAAAATATTCTTTTCATATTAAAATTCTTATAAATAATTTGGTTACTATAAAAAATTTTAATATTTAATATCTTTATTTATACATAATATTAATTTGTTTTCAATATACAAATCTTAAAGATATATTTCATCTTATTCTTTATTCTGTTAATAATATTAATATAAACTAAGTAATTTTTAATATAATTCAATTAATATTTATTTTATTTTAAATACCTAATAGTTTTTTTTTAAAATATTAATAGTAAAGCTATGCTTTTAACTTTATTAAAATTCAATTGAAGTTTTTATAAAGAAAAACTTTCTTTTAAATTAAATATGAAGAATAATGACTCAGATATATAATCTGTAATCTAAACTTATAAGAGTGGTCAAGGCTTATCTAGATTTGGGTATTAGTAATAATATAAAAGAAATAAATATAATATTTAATTTATTAAATAGTCTAAAGATTAATTTTAGTAATAATTTGTGATATTGAAATAGGTGATAAAGATAAACTAAAAAAAGAACTATAAGTTAAAATAGTAAAAGGTATATACAGAATGTAAAATATAGTATGAGATCTATATTTGTTTATATAATTGTTAGTTTAAATAAAGAAAAAGTTTGATAAAAAAAGAAATAACAATATAATAAGAAATAAAAGTATTATAAATAGTAGAAATAAGATTAATAAGAACTAAACCAGATAGGATAGAAATAAGAGAAGATATATATAAAAAGTTATGCAATTTAAAGCTATTAAGTATAAGAATTTCTTAATATAAATTAGAAACAAAGTTGGTAGACATGTTAAGAGCAGTAGTATTTAAAATACAATTAAGAGAATTGGAGATTAAATGATAAATTGTTTGAGTAAAAGGACAAAGAGTTCAGTGTAATGAAGAGCTAGTTTGATTATATTAATGACAAAGAAAAGAGTAAAAGAAGTTACATTTGTAAAGAATATAAAAAACAGGTAATTTATCCAAGAAAATTTTAATACAAAAGGTTTTTAGAGTAGAAGAGTGAAAGCTATAAGCAAAGTTAGAGACTTTTTAATTATTATTAATATAAAGCCAAGTGGCTTCCTAGTTGATATTAGAAGCAATAGTAGACCATTGTTGAAAATGATGTTGGAATGTCTAAAGTGTTATAATATGAGCTTAACAGATAGTACAAATAAAGTGTCAAATAGGAATTTTAATAAAAAATTAGTCAATAAATTTGATATAGCCAAAGTTATAAGAGTTATTAGTTAAGAATATTAAAAAGAATAGTATTTGGTGACTATGAACAAGTTGGTCAGCAAGGTTATTAAATGGGTCATCTTGGTATGCAGTAATTTTGTAAAAAATAAGTTAAATATTGTATGAGTTAATGAAATTAATAAGAGTTTGCCAAATAGAGAAATATAAGATATGAGTATAAGAGAGTTTGAATCCTAATGAGCAGATACTATAGTATTTGAAGATTACAGATTATGAGTTAGTAAAGATATGAACAGAACAGTTTCTAGGAACAGTTATAATTGCTAAGAGAATATCAAGAATTTCAGTTTTAAAGAAGCATGACCAAAGTTTAACTTGTATCTAAAATAAGTAAATAGTTGCAGAATTATCAACTTGAACCCAACCTATATCCATAGAGCATTGAGTGATATCAAGCTTGATAACAAAACTATTAGTATAAAATGAAATAATAGTAAAATTGTAGTTAGAATTAGTAATAAACTGTAAACTATTAGTAAGTTGGTTAGACTAAAAGATGCAAGATAATTGTTGTAAATTGATTATTACTAAAGAAGGGAATAGAATATATAAAAAATGTCAAATAATTATAAAATATGCAATATTAAGAAAATTGGTATATAGGTTAAGAGTTTTATCAGAATTGATATGACAGAATAGTTTTGTAATCAGATTTGTAAAAATAAAGATAGTGCATTTGTTGAAAACTATATTAAAATTAAGTTGATATCTAGAACATATTGTAATAGTAAAAAGAGAAGTAGGATATAGATTTAAAAACTAAAACTAGTATAAGCAATGTCAGTAAGCAATAAGATTAAAGCCTGTAATAGTATTATGCCTTCTGGTCTTGCCAATAATTATTTGATTATTAAAAATAGTAAGTAACTAGTAGAGGTCTGAACCAGGTTACACAAACCTGAGTGACCCAGATCAAAACAGGTGAACTGGGTTTCAAATTTATAACCTAGATCAAATCGGTTGATTAATACTAACTGAAAAATCTTCCAAAAATGCATCAATTGATCATCTTTGCACCTTCATGTAAGTGCCTATGCATTTTCCAAATTTAATCTACTCTGATCCTATGCCTTGGCATTAAAATCCAAAATTGACATACCTGATCCTATACATTGATGTTAAGTCTAAAGTTGACACTATCTGATCCTATGCTTGGCATTAAATTCATAATTGATATCATCTGATCTTATGCCTTGGCATTGGTTTAAATAGTTTAAATTTACAATACATACAAGCATATATATAATAAAAAATTATACATTAATTGTCTCTTAGATTAGACATAAGATTATGATAATTCTGTATAAGAAAAATAAATGCATAATAATTAGATTGCACATATTATTAGGCTTTTAATTTATTCTTAATAAATTTATTTTTTTATTATATATTCAAATTATGAATGATTATTGAATAGTAAATATATATTGAGCTTGATATTGTTAAAATAAGAATTAATACTATATGCATTTAAAATAAGTTACTTATAAATATGCAATAATTTAAAGTCTCTGTTTTGAGCAATGCCTTTGTTAATATTCATGAAGCTATTGCATTAGTATGCCAATTCACACAATTATATATCTCTCTAAGCATATAACTAAATATTTTGTGAATATTATATATAATTAAAAATAAAAAAAGTTATACATACAATTTGTTTGATATTATATTCAATTACATATCAAATGTACAAATGTTTAGGTTGGCATCTTTAATGCTTTATTAATATACACCTAATGCACTAGTTTCATAAAATAAGACAAGAATATATGCAGTTAAAATAGATGGATATGTGTTATTTCACTGATAATCACTTTACTGACAGCTTAGTTTACTGATAATTAATTCATAAACAAGTTCATTTTACCGACAATTATTTCACTGATAGCTCATTTTACTGACAAGCATTTTTTATAACTTTAACTCTAATTTCAACCTGATACTTATAACAATGATCAAAGTTATTTTGTTAATAAAATGTTGGTGAAATGAACTTTCCTGTGAATTAATTGTTTGTGAGCTAAGCTATCAGTGAAATGACTGTTGGTGAAATGTGCACCACTCAAAATGGATAAATACTATATTTTGTAAAACAGAAAAATCTTCATGAATAATGAATGCAGTAACTATCAAAGTAATGCAAAAATTGCATTATTTTTTAATCAAGTAAACTAGAAAGCAATGTCAGTATTAAATTAATAATATAACTTATTGCTGCAAAAGAAATATAAAGAGCCATAAATTTATAATGAAATAAAAAATAAATAAACAAAAAAAACCTCTAAATAAAAATATAAACAAAAGTAATTACAAACTTGTAATATATAGTCACTCTTAAAAACTTTTTGAATATTCATTCTATAAAATCAAATTGGTTGGTAAGTTGATATATATCTTTTTTAAAAGAATATATAGCATATTTGTTAAAAATAAAGCATTTCAATTTCATCCTTATTTTTTTTATCATGCATATTATATCTTCATCTTAAGCAATTCATTATTTGATTGTTACCTTAGAATGAGTGATAAAGAAGATGTTCTTGAAGATTTATTTTTTGATTCTAATTGTAAAACCAGTGATAATATATCAATTGGTTCTAGTAATAGGGCTGTTTCAACAGTTCAAGAAAATCAACCTTATGCAACAAAAAAAAGCAAATTAGTGCATAGGCAAAAATATGCAAAATTCAGTTAGGTATAGAAATACTTTGAAGTAAGTAAGGATGGAATACATGATGTTTGTAAAGTTGAAATTCTTAATTTAAGTGATAAAAAAGTTAAATGTGAATATAAATTTCTACATAATGGCAGCATTGAGAATATGAGTAGTCATCTTCAAAACAAACATAATCTATATGAAAATAAAAATAAAGTATGCTTTTTATTAACTATTATTTAATTAATATAATATAATATAATAATACTTATCTAATTATTATATAGAATCAAGACCATGACATTCAACAAACATTAGAAGAAGCTCTTAAATGAGCAAAGGTTAAGATGCATAAAGAACTATAAAACCAAGAAATTTGGCAAGCAATTCTAAATAGATTATTATTGATAATTTGGCATTTAGTATAGTTACAAGAAAAGGATACAAAAAAATGATAAAAATAGTTGATCTAGCATTTCAACTTTCCTCTGAAAAAAGAATTAAAAAAGAAATTAATAATGCTTATCCTAAAGTAGTTGAAAATTTAAAACAATTATTAGATAATACATGTAAGTCAGCATCCTTAACAACTGACCTGGGGTGTGGCAACCTAGTGAAGTAATCAGGTTGTTAACCTTCTAAGTAGTAGGTTGGGTGTTCAAATCCCATCAATGATGAAAATTTGGATAATCACCTATATAATATTCATATTATAGCAACTGTTACTAATGATTGGATTAGGATATCTGTAATGGTGATCACATCAGCATAACTGGCAAGTCATAGAGCATTTGTATAAGTATAGTGTTATACAGAAGAATGCAAACTGACAAATCAGGCAGTGAAAATACTAGATAAGTCCTTGTGGCCATGTAAATCCATTGAAATTGGGTAACAAGAAATCTATTTGTGAAGACCCGAGTAGAGAGGTAGCTGGATCTTTGATGGCTTTACTGTAAAGGCTAGCTAGATCTTTGATGGCTTTACTGTAAAGGCTAGCTAGGAAAAATGGATACCAAGGTCATAGTACCTGGTCATAGTAGCTGGATGGGCAAGAACCTCCAGGTTGGGAGTCTTGGGATACTACCAACCAAGCTGCCAAAATGAACTAGAAGAAAAGGATATCAGACTGATCTGATATACCAATGGACTGGTTATAGTTCTACACAGGTTATCTGGATTGGGAGTTTGGTAAAAAGGCTGAACAAAAGACAGGAGTATACTAAAGTACTGAGGTTATGCTGTGAAGTAGATGCTAAGGTCTAAGTGAACTCTACAAAAGCATAGCAGTTTAATGATTAGTCCTGACTGCAAATGTTAGTTCTGCCATAGTGATATCTAGATCAGCTATAAAAATGGATACAGAAGGCTCTGGAAGGTTTACCTTAAAGATAAATTAGTCCTAAGGTTGAGGATAATGATCTGGGCATCTGAGATGACTAGTGATATTAATACAGATTACAGGTTCAAAGGGTTTAAAGTAGAACACCCAAGCAGGGGTGTTAGGTACGTCAATTGGTAGAGAATCTTCAGGTGGACTCCTTAAATAAGTAATATAGAAAAGTTACATATGTAGTTAATTGTATGCTCTCCTGTAGTGGTTCATTAAACTACAATACCAATAAGTAATTAATAAAAGTCAAAAGACCAAAGGGGTCACCTTAATACCAAAAAAAACAAACAACTGACCTATGGACTGCATGCAGTAAACATAGATATTTAGGTATAACAATTCATTGGTTATCAAGTAATTTTAAAGTATATGACTGTCTTCTTTGTATGGAATATATACAATATCCACATTCAGCTAAAAGAATTATTACTTTTTTAAAAAAAAAAGTTTTAGAATTTGGATTAGATGAAAAAATAACTTGTATTACAACAGATAATGGAAGTAATATAGTTAAAGCAATTAATTTGTAGAAAGGAGTTGAATGTTTGCCTTGTGCTGTCCATATTTTACAATTGTCAGTTACTCATGCTTTCAAAAAAACAAATATTTATATTAAAAAAATAAAAAAACTAGTTAAATTTTTTGCCAAATCTCCTAAGCAAAGTGAACATCTTGATAAAGCACAACAAGACTTACATTTACAAATCCAAAGTAATATTTGTTTAACTGATGCATTAAATTCTGATGACAGTGATTCATTAGTAAATAGTGCAAATTCTGAAAAACTATTTTATGTAACATAGCAGAGATAAAAACAAAATAGAATTCAAAATAGCATTCATGAAAACAGCTACTTAAATTGTATAAAGCAGTTGAATGATTACATGTAAAGCTATCTTTATCTGACAATCCAGATGATCAAGCTGATGGTCAAAAATTAAAAAAACTTCTTCTTTTATCATATGAGTAGAATCTATTAAATCAAATTATTACTTTGTTAGAACCATTTAATAATGCTATTACTTATTTTAGTAGGTCATATTATGCTACCTTATCTATTATATATCCTTTAATTGAAGCACTTAAATTTATATTTGCTGAATTCAAAATATTAAATGATGCTCAAGATGATGAACAAAGTAATTAAAATAATATAAAGCAAATATAATATATATTATAAAATATATAATTAAAGTTTTCTGATATATTTAATCAATAATTTTTAATTAAATAAATATTAAATTGTTAAATAGATATACCTAACTTTTGCCATGAAGAATCATCAGATGATGATAGTGATAATTCAAAAAATGATACTTCAGAATTAACTAATAATTCTTCTCAAAACACTTATTTTATCAAATCAATATGCTATATAATCTATAATTCTTTATTTAATTATTGAAATTAACTATTAATGGTTGGTTTGTTGGCAACACTTTTGGATCCACAGCTAAAAACACTCTCTAGTTGGAATCAAAAAACTCAAGAAAAAGCCAAAGCTGAGTTAACTTATTAATTCAAAAATATAGCTACTCCAAATTATAAACAAACAACATCAATATATACTACTTCCTTAAATAGTAACAATATTTGTCATAATCGTTTACACTCTTCAATTTTTGATATGTCTACTTCAACTTATACTGCATCTAATCTTTTAGCTAAATTAAAATGCTACCTGGATCCTACACAAACTCCTATCACTAAAGATATTGTAAATTCATTTGAATAGTAGGCAATTTGGAAAAAGAAGTTTTTCAACATAGCAAAATTAGTCAGAAAGTACTTATTAATTTCTGCATCTTCTGTATCTAGCGAAAGGTTGTTTTCAGATATAGTTAATTGTATTACTGCAAAGTGTACACAACTAAATCCTAATTTAGTAAATAAAATAATGTTTTTAAAAAGAAATTCTGATGTAATCTCATATTTTTGAATTTATAAAAAATAAATAAACTAAATCATGTTATTTATCATTTTACTTATCAATATGATTACAATAATCTGAACTTCAATTAAATATCTATATTTGTGCAGTCAAATGCTAAAGAATATCAAACTAGTTCATTTAAAGATTGATCATGATCAGTATAAAGTTATAAAAACTAACCTTAGCATATACATGTACTAAATTTGTTACATTGACCCTTTCTAGCATTGATTTTAAGTATTTGTAATGCTAAAAGCAAAAAATTTTTATATTTTTTTACATTTCATCTTTTATACTATATAACCTATTTTTACCTGAGTACCCAATTTCAAAATTACACAAGTGACCCAAGTGATAAATTTGCATCTGATTCGGACCTCTATCCTGGGTTTCATCTCTATAGAAAGATTCAATACAAACAATATTTTCACATTTTTCATTTTCTTTTAAGTAGTTAAGAACATTAGCTGCATTAGCTATGATATTTTGAATTTGTTGGTTGGATAAGAGATTAGATATGTGTTGTTGTAAATTAAAAAGTATTTTAAAAAAGTCAGTATAATTTTCAAAGTTAAGATGATAGGAAGATTCTAAATCTTCTTCTCTTAATATGAAAGGGTTCTTTTAATAATAGTTAGTATAAACAGCTAAAGATGCTATATTTTTAATAATATCAATAATATTTTTAGAAGAACTAGAATATCTAAAACTAAAAATAAGTTTGAAAATAGTGTTCTTTAATTGAAGTAGGTTGAGTTAAATATATATTTGTTTAATCTGATTGAAATATTCTATAAATTTAGTAGAAAAGTCACAAGCAGAATATTGTCTAATATATCAGAAATAAAAGTTATAAAAATCAGAAGGTATAGTTGTAGTTACAGGCTAACAAATTTCACAAAAATCGTCTAGTTTAATGATAGAAAATTGAGTGGTATGTTCTTGGGTATGTATAAATACTTTTAATAGATATCTTTCAAAGTTGAATTACATGTACTAACAATTTAGAAGCTGTTTGTTATACTGCAAACACTTATACTTTCATTTCTAAAGTTCAATTTTTTAGAAATCAGCAGATATCTCTTGAAATTACTATGACAACAGGCTTTGTTATTTAAGAGAAAATTGTAGAGTGAGTCTTTTTAGTTCTAAAAGAGGTTAAAACGCTAAAATTAATCTGGTGGTTGTTGAGATATTGATGTTTAAAGTTGGTATAATAATAGTCAGAATGTTTCTCCAAGAAGAGTTTCTTGCAAATTTTTTGTAGATCAAAAATGCCTCACTATTTTGACATTGAATAGTGGTTCCAGATGAATTTTTTCACTAAGATATACTTAGTAAAAAAGATGCAATAGGTTTTTAAGTATATATTTTTCAATTTCAGGTCAAACAGACCAATATTAACAGAGTTTTCTTAAGACTAACAAAAATCAATTATTTACAATAAATTAAGAACTTATCTTACAGTTATCACCAAAATGTTGACTTGTTGTTTTTTCTTTAACCACAGTAATAACAGAAGCTGCTCAACTATAGTATTATGATTATAACTTAACAGGTTCTATACAAAAGTCTACACAAGACTTAACAAAATATAGAGTGATTTGGGATTTTAAAGCAGAGGCAACAATAGATAGTATATAAAGATACTAAATATTGTATTTAGTTTATTAATTATGAAATGTATGAAGACATTTAACTTTCTTAAAAGGTCAAAAAATAGTGCTTTTATAGATATTTTATATGTATAAATAATTACAATAAACCTTTGTAGATCTCTCGACCGAAATTTACAGGAAGCAAAAAACACAAATAACATCGAAACACACAAGCAAACAGTATTTAGAGCACTAAGGGAAAAGATAGAAGAGTATAGAAATATAATTAACCAAGCTAAAAACAAGAAATAAACTAGAGCAGTAGCAAGCAATAGCAAAAAAACAAATTTTTAACAAATTTTAATAAGCAAATCAATATATAGATATAGAACAGAATAAAGTAAATAAACCTATACAAAGCTCTTAAAAGAAAGTTCTAGTACAAAGAAATACAAACTTTTTAGCAATACAATAATAGAAATATAGCTCTTTTTAATAAGGTTTTAATTAGTTTAAACTTGGTGTAAAAGTTTTATAAAAATTCTTAATCATTTTTTAGAAAAGTGAAAAATCACCCTAGATTCTAAAATAATCAGTTAGAACATGTAATTAGTTGACAACAAAACAACAACAAACACAATATATTACATATATAATGATATTATCCTAATTAGGAAATAACAGATAGAAATCTTTATGTGTACTACTAAGCAGATGAATAAACAACAAACTAATATAGAAATGAAAGTACAGTGCAGACTAGGCCTTCTAGATAACACAGAACTAATTCAACATATAAGAGGTTTCGGTGATAGAAATAGAAGATACATAGATAGCAGAATATTAGATGAAATTTTATTGAAGTGAATAGATAATCCAAGTAATTTAGAGTATATAGCAAAAGATCTTGCAATCTACAATCCAAAAAACATTACAATAGGTAATGTACTTCTTTATAAGCAAGTACTCGAAGCATTCAAAAGAGCAGAAATCTTTTCAGTAACAAGAAGCACAATAGATGAATAGGCAGATAAGCTTCTAGCAGTAGATCAAAACCTGAAATCATTTAATTACTTGTTGAACATAAAGAGTGAAGAAATACTGAAAGAGGAAGCAAAAATGGAAGGAATAGAAAAAGATGAAAATACTGAGAACATGGATATAGTTATATTAGAAAGAAAAGACAACAATATAAAATTAATAGTAATGAAGAAAACAACACAAATCTAAATGTAGTCATTGGCCAAATGCAAGATCTTAGCATATTAACATCATCACACTGAGAACCAGTAAAATATTTAAATGAAGAGGTTAAAAAGTTAGCAATAACAGCAAAAATAAACAAAAATAATATAAGAGATAAGAAAGCTAAAAAAAGCCAAGAGAATGCAGCAGATTTCTCATAGCAAATGGAAAAAGACAAAACAGTAAATCAAGATTAAGAGAGTATAGAGTCAACTGAAAAAAATAATAATATACCTACACTAGTAGACACAATAGAATATAGCCAATAGTCTTCAACAAATCGAATATATGACAAAAGCAGATCATTCAAAGCAAATATGCTAACATATATAATACTAGATGCAAATAAAGATGAAAGATTAAAATATACACAATAGATCCTATGTGGCAATCATCATATCAAAATGATTAAAGAGGTCTTTAAAAATAGAAACAGCTAGATTGAGATAAATTTTGACTGTGAATTTAGTAGAAATGCAGCAATGGATAGAATCAAAAAAAAAGAAGAAAACTGGCTAAAACTCATCCCAAAAGAAACAAAAAGCCAAGAAAGAAAACTGAGCTGCCAAACATTAAATAACAACAGAAAAGACAAAAATAAACCCAAAAAATACAAGAAAATTAACAAAAAAAAAGATGATAAAAACATGTACTTAGTAGAAAATGAGTTAGAAGCATACATATACCTAACAATATGGGATCTACTAGCAAACATCAATGCAGAAGAAGTAGAATACATATGTAAAAATCTTAAAAAAACTCAAATAAAATGTATTAAAAGATCCAAATATAAAGCTTTAACTGTAATTAAAGCAAAAATTATAAAAGAAGAAACCACACCATGGTCCTTACCAATAGACATGCACAGGTTAGCAAGAGTAACCATAAGAGAAAAAAACTTCAACCAATGCAACTTATAGAACCAGTTCACAGCAAAAATACTAGAACTACCAAGTAATATATCAGAAGTATTACTATTACAATGCTTGAAGAAAAAAGAAGCAAAATTAGTATATATTCCATTTAACAGGAATAAAAATTAGAGAAGATCTGTAGCAATAACATTCGCAACAGAGAAAAAAATAAGTGTGGCACAAGCAAAGCCAATAAGATTTAACAATCACTTATTATTTTGGTTGGACTATATTGAAAAAAAAGGAAAAAGTAAAAGAAAAAGTGATACCACAAGTTACAACAGAAGAGGTTGTAATAGTAAAAGCCCTGATGAAGAAATATATGAAAATAATTAAAGAAAAGAAATTAAACAAAGAAACAACAAGAACAGAAATGATGACAGGAATAGAGAGCATTATAGAGCAACTCAATAGTCAAAAACCAGAAGCAGAAGAAGATAAAAAAAAAAAAAATCCAATCTCAGACATAAGAAGAAACTTTATACATCAAAAATATCTTAGAATGAATACTAGAAAGATTAAAAAAACTAGAAAAAGATGAAGAAAATAATGAGATAAACCAACCTAAATGCTTCTAAGGGTGCCACAGTTGAACTAATGAATATAGATAAGGAAATTGAAATATTTCTGCAAAATGAAAGAAGGGTTTTCAAAAAGGAAAGAGAAACTAGATTTCCTTGTTAAGAAAAAGGATACAGAGCAGAAAAGAAAAAGTTAAAGGTATAAGAACAAAATGGAAACTACTAAAAGAGAAATAAAAAGAAGAAAAAAAAGAAATAAAGCTAGCATACCACAACATCAATGGACTTAAAACCAAAAATTGGAAATTGGAAAATCTGCTCAGCTAGACAGAAGAAAAGGAAATTGCAATATTAGGAATTACAGAAACAAAATATTACTAAAAGAGAAGGAAGATTTCTAATATATGCAACAAGCAAAAATTATATAGAATACTGGTCAAATGCAGCAGAAAATAAGAAAAAAGGATCAGGTGTAGAAATACTAATAGAAGAACAATAGGAAAAGC